TCTCCCAGGAGGAGAGAGAGGGGTCTGTAAAGCTGGAGAGGGACAGGGACCAACAATAGATTGTATATAGAGAAGGGGTGAGGAGGAAGCAGGACCTACACCTCATTCACACAATGGGATGGAGGAGAAGCGGGAAGGGAGCTGAGCTGACTTTGAGCTGCTGGGCTACTATCCTCTCTGCTTAGCTCCTGTGAATAACGTCAGCCAGCACAGCTTCTTCCTATTCACCCTTCCTCTATCTAAAATCTACTGTTGGCTCCTGGACAGCTCTCTGTCTCCCGTCGCAGGCTTTTTGGAGGGGAAGGCGAGAGAAAAGCAGGGTGCCCAAAGCTGCAGGAAGGCTGGGAATACCTGGGCTCCAGGAAAGCCTTACAGCACCCAGCAGCCACCACCTTCTGTCCCCATTCAGCAGGAAGAGAGACAGGCAAGCACTAACTAAGGGAGGGAAGGAAGATGGTATCTGATGTTAATTGGGAGAGGGCCGTTGGGACAGTGAAAAATAAGCACCCTGTTTTAACTGACAGGATTATTATCTCTCCAAACCTGGATAAAGACCCCTGCAACCCATGCACCAGGGCCTGAAATGACCAAAGTGTGAAGCACCTGTGTTTTTTCATAATCACACTAGAAACAATAGATGTATTGGCTTTTAGTACATATTATTATAAGATGCATATAGAATTAAGTTTTTTTTCACTATATAATGTATATAAATAATTTTTTCAGTTGGTAACACTCCTTCACATTAATCTATTATGGATTACAAAACAGATTTGATTCTTATAAACCATTATAATCTGTCATTTATAGCGTGGTGCACAACAACATACAGGTGTTCCACTTTTAGGTAATTTCACATATTACAATGACTTGCATCTCACACTGCCAGTTTTCTGGGTTGAGAGGTCTGAGTAACTCTATTGATGTCATTCCTAACTTTTATTTGACTTTCCTCAATATAGCATTAATTATGTGTTCTCTTTTCTCTGTGTTGTTTCCAAAGATCTGCTTGGCTTTGGAAATGATACCACTTATATAGTGGTCTGGGTTCAGCAAATGAAGATGACAGTTAAAACTTTCAAAAGTGCCTAAGCAATTTAAGAGCCTAAGATTCATTTATGAGACTATCTATGCATTGTAATAGTAAGCCGACAGTTATGTATGGCAAGGCAAATATGAAACAAAATTTAAAGATGTACTTTTTGAATTTTTAAAAGAATAGGCTGGGACCACAATCAGTGGAATAATAATCTAAAATAATTTCACCCATCCACGCTTAAGTTCTTTCCATCACCACAAGATTTAGACAAGATTTCAGTGGAGTTATACTTACCTACTTCAGGCTGAATTTGACTGATTGACTTTATCATTTGTCTCTTTCATATGCCTGTTACGGAATATTCATCACTCCCAAACTAGCATGGGCAAATTCAGTTCTCATTTATACTAATGTAACATCACTGACTTTCATGGCATATTCCTTATTTATACTAGTATAAGAGAGCTCAGAATCTGGCCCTCTGTCTTTAACCGTAGCTCAATACATTGCTTAGGCCAGGTTCTCATCTCACACTCAGAAGCAAAATGGAGGCATTAAAAAAAGGATTTTGTTAAGTAATGGAAAGGAGAAATAAGAAAAGAGGAAACTGCCTCTCTGTATCTTCCTTTGGAGACCCTCTCCCTACTTGAAAAACAGTCTGTTCTTGGACCTTTATGCTAACACTTCCTTAATAATATACCTGTTAAGATATACCTGCTTGCATTGTGTTCTGTTTACATTTTATGGAGTAGGTAGGACATTAGGAATGGACTGACAGCAAATGACCTGGAAAAATATCTCTAAATAGAAAGTACAACAAACCTGATAATCATCCAAGCAGCTCTCTCAACACTGGCCTGAAGCCTTAGAATATGCAGCTTTCTACCCAAGGAAATTCCCCTTGTGCATCTACTGTCAACAAGGTGCTACATTTAGACTGTAGACCTGCACTACTCTGAAGGTGACATTGTGTAACAAACACAGCTAAATATGAGCAACTCGCTTGCAGACAGATTTTCATTCCACAAAGCTTTTGTAACTTGGAGCCTGTATTCCCATTTCAGCATTTTAAAGTTGGTTGAATACATTGGGGGGAAATATATTTCACATGAAAAATGTACTGAGCCTTCGGAATGGCAAATATTACCAGAAAATGTAGTTTAAAATATGTATCATTGTGAGTAATATATGCATAGGTGACAGTCCACTGGGAGGGATGACTCCTTTATTCCTGTGTTGTAACATGTATAATAACACAATTAGGGATCTCATAAAATAGTATCACTTGCATATCTTTATATTGTAAAGAAGAAATATCAAACACCGAGGCTTGGTCTAAAACATTGTAATACATACATCTGGTCATCTCTGCAGGAATTATTCTTGCTTTTGGTTACATGAGAATACCCTACCCTTCTTTGCATCCGATGAAGTGAGCTGTAGCTCACGAAAGCTTATGCTCAAATAAATTTGTTATTCTCTAAGGTGCCACAAGTACTCCTTTTCTTTTTGCAAAGACAGACTAACACAGCTGCTACTCTGAAACCTACCCTTCCTGTTAGCTCTGACTCAGTGCTTCCTGGTATCCCTCCCCACTCTGCTCCTTACAATGGTATACACGTTGTGACTAACACTTTGGATCCAGTATCATATTCTTGCCTAATATGCAATTTTTAAAAATACATGTAGGAACTATATGTGTATACTTCCATTCTGGGGCTTCAATAACTAAACAGACCACTTTTGTCTCACTTTCGGGGTTTCTGAGTTCACCAGAATCTTGTAATAGAATCACAACTTTACATTTCCCTCTTGCCTCTCCCTGGCAGCCGGACAGGGAGCAGGACGGAGCCACTTCTGCCTGAGAGAGCCTGGCCGGGAGGCAGCAGCAGCCTGCTCCCTGCCCAGGCTCAGCTGCCAGTGACAGGGTCTGAGCATGCCAGCGGGAGAAGGGGGGGCTCAGTCCCTCCTCTGTTTACGATACATAATAGTTTAATCTTCTATGGGTTGTAACACTTTGGTCTAATTCCAATGAGAGGGCGCTGGCTGGTGTTGGTGGCTTGTGATATACAGGAGGTCAGACTAAATGATCTAGTGGTCCCTTCTGGCCTTAACCTCTATTACTCTATACTGAGGCCTTTGACAATTTAAGACCATTAAAAATCCGTGGCCTTGCTTTCATGTAATCCCTAGTTATCTGGCCAAATGCATATTTGAGTAATTGTATTCTGTTTATGTAAGTTTCTCTCTATTTTTAAATGAGATAAAGTATTCTTTATGGTGTAGTGTTGACATGAACTGTTAAACGGCTGTTGTTTTCTATCCAGGAGGTAGCTGCACTTTTGTTTAAGACAGCGACTACTTGTAATTCACAAAACTGTTGACATAGGTTATAATTCTGCTGTTAATTAGAAGGGTGAAACTGCCATTAAATTCTTAGAAGTTGAATTAATCTAGTGGAGGGTAAAATAGACCAAGCTGGTCATTCTAATTATAACATTACTTAGTACAGGGAGAACACTTATTGGGCTATACTACCAAGAATCCTTAGCAGGCGGCTGTTGGGTTTGTGTGTTTTAAGAGACTAGAAAATAAAGCATGGTGAATTGCTACAACAGAATTCAGGATTTCTGTCTTCTCTTACCACCATCCCACCCCCAAATGTACACAATATCACAGATGCCAAATTTTGTGACACTCAGTGTGTGACATTTTAGGCAAATTATTTCTTGAAATATTTAATATCATAATTTGAACTCCCTGCAATAGCTCTATACTTTCCTCAGATTTAGAACTCTGCACCAATGATGTAATCAAAATATGTATTTATTTATCTTGTGAGATGCATTTACTGTTTAATGATCATTTTTATTGGATTAGATAATGAGTCTTATCCTGCTGTCACTGTAACCTGCAACTCTGATTGATATCACAGAGTTTTGACATGGCTAAGAATTACAGTATTGGGCCCTCTGTGACTCAGTCCAGGCTCGGTTCACTTCTATCCCTCTATAATAATTTTTTTAATCACTTGGATTGATAATAGCAGCCATAAAACCCTACAATTTAAATGATCAATTGAAGGCTTGTGTATTCCTTAAATATGATTGTAGCAGGCTGAGGCCCTTAAGGTGACTTCTCCCATCTGGCCCTTTTAAATTGCCCTGAGTTCCCCTCATGCTAGCACCAATGTCTTTCAAAAACAAACAGAATGCAAAACAAAGCCTTCTTAACAAAAGTCTTTTCCTCCCAGGCATCTCTGCTGGGGTGCAGTCTTCCCACCTTCCTCCTCTACTTGGAGACCAGATCACACCACCAGTCATTTCTCCCCAGGATGGGAGAGATCAGCAGGCAAGCAATCCTTTCACTGCTAATGTCTCTCCCACTATGAGGGAAGAGGCACATTATATGCTGCCCTCTTTTCCAGAATTTATCATGGTTGGTTTTGCTGAGGAAGAGGGGAGCCTTGTCCCACCCTGCACTACAGGGATCCTTGTACTAGTCCTTTAAAGAAACTGTTGGCCGGGTTTTACTTTCTCCCAGAACTGGCTGCTGCCAGTTTCTATGCCTTTGTCTGCTCCCCCAGAATTCCAGGAATAAGGGTAGCCTGGCCTCCCAGAGTTCCCTCTCTGGCCTTAAAGGGGCAGTATATCCCCTTACAATAATGTTTGAGATCCACTGCAATATGCTAAACAGCTTTTCTTTGTAGACAATAGATAATGCTTCTTTAATGCCTAAGTCCTAAGTACAAATAGCATCTGTATGGTCAGTGAATTGCAGGAGAAGATATTGATATAAACTTGTATGATTTAAAAAGGCAAAGATAAAGAGGAGAAACATTGTCATCTTTATATGAATCAAGTCAACCTACTTGATTAACATTACTAATTCCCATCTATCCTCCTGCTCCTGTCCATCGACTCATGTCAAAACACCTTGCTAAATTTTATACCATCCTTACCATCACTGCAGAGGATTCCAGCTTTTCCATAAGGACAGAGGCAAACAGCATCTTGGCTGGATTTTGGAAAACAAGTAGCACCGTTCCCACATGGATTCTCGTCACAAGTTGCAAACTGACACAGTTTTCCAGAGTAGAGTCCAGGGCATTCACAGAACCAGTTTTCTGTATCACTGATAGATTTAAATAAAAAACCTATAAATATCAAAATATTCTTAAAAGAAAAAGCATTTTCTTCAATTTCATAAAAATCCAAGGAGTTTCAGCTTTATTATTGGTTTCAGAGTAACAGCCGTGTTAGTCTGTATTCGCAAAAAGAAAAGGAGTACTTGTGGCACCTTAGAGACTAACCAATTTTTTGGTTAGTCTCTAAGGTGCCACAAGTACTCCTTTTCTTTTAGCTTTATTATTGAAACACTTTTTCCCTCTTTGCTCTAAGCTCATGCTTCAAATGTAAGCATTTTTTCAGTTTATGTAATTTACACTAGAAATGGATAACTGCTTTATAGGTTACTTGACTTAAAAGGCTCTACTTTCAACAACCCATGCTATATTTTTACTGTATTTCTCCTTTCATTTCACAGGATGTGACTTTTTTCAGAGCTTCTCATTCAGTATTTGTGGTCCTGCTTTCGGAAATAAAGCTTAAAATAACTGTTAAAGAAAAAACTGCTGTTCCCTAATGTCTTAAAAGGAGAGAGAAAGAGAGAGAGAAATGTAAACCCACACAGAACATCTGGATATATACTTAAGTATTTGAAATAGCACTTGAGAATACAGTAGGACCTGAAAGAAGATAGAAATTTAAATTGAACCAGAATATTGAAAAGTAACATGTCTTCCTGCATACTTCCTATGTTGTCATTTATGGAGACATTACATGAATTCAAAAGGATAAGAGAAAAATTAAGTTTTAACCAATCTTATTTTCTTTTGAATAGGGTGAGGAAAACAAATATTAGGCAGTTGTGTTAGGCCATTCATATACATTATTTTTTAAGACACATACATACCATGGTGGTGAGTGTGGTATAAACACCTAAATAGACAGAGACTTGCATGTGGTTAAAATGCTATATTAATGACTGAAATGCATGCCGTGCATCTCAGGTTATTGTGTGTTATTAGGATCACTATCATTAAAAGCTCCTGATTTATGATAGAAATTAGGTTGACAACAAGACGGATTGTTCTGTATGGTTGGTACAGATTCTCAACATCCTGAACTTGCAAACACATCTGTTCTGCACTTGATAAGGTCATACATGCCTACGGTCTGATTGCAAAAGACGTGATGTGAGCCATGTCAAACCACAGCCATTACATTTTTCCTGATAATAACATAATCCTTAGAAAGTTTAGTGATAAAAAGTCAAAGGAATGTGACTTTACAAAATATATTCACTGCTTACAAAATGCAGATAAGACAGACAGATTAGAGGAAATAATCTAGAGCTGAGAGAACTCCAGCATTTATTAACTGAAGACAATAAATAACTCTGCTGACAGTCTTTGTTTCTAACAGTTCATTAGTGTATTTCAAAACTGACCACCCACAGTTCCAGGAGAGGGAGAATCTCAGCTGGAAAGTCTACCAGAATGAATCCTCCTGAATAGTGCCTCCAGACACCTTTAAAAAAGAAAATTGCTGTCAGCTGCAGTAATAAATTTCTGTGTATAGTCTATTCTATTTATAGAGCTGCTGCAGAGACTGGGAGAGGAATGTAAAGGAAATATTGAATTGCTTTGGTTTGTGCAGCACTGAGGAGCCTGCTTTCAACAGTTTTAATATGTTATTATGGAGTTCAGCTAATTAAAAAAGCCATAATCCTACTGTGAAATCTTCCTGGAAACTTTCAACTGAGCTCAAAGATCTTCTTCTCTCTAATTAATTATCAGACATACTTATATATGTGCGTGGGAGAGTAAGGAACATCATTGGTGCTGGACAATATACAGTGAGCTTAATCTTTTTCTCTTTATAAAACCAAAGCCTTTACATTGGTGATATGCGTCATGTTCTAATAATACATTAACATTGCACATTTCTGTGTACAGTTATTTGTTGCATTCTGTGAAAGTTTGAAAATTACAATTTTGAGAAAAACAATTACTAGTATTCAGCATATATATCAAGAGGAGCAAGTACATAACACAATTTTATACATATTAACCTGCCAGAGCACCATCCCCAAAAATGAAGCAAAGCAAATGATTTTTAAAAAATCCCCAGAAATATAATGAATGGAAGGTATAGAGCAGGAACATATAATAACTAACCACAGAGGGAAAAATCACAACTAATTAATAAGCATTACTCAGTCAGAATACTGAAATGCAAAGTCACAGATGTCTTATTTTTGTCCTTTCCTACAGCAATCTGTGCCTGTGTCTGGTAAAAAAGAGTCAAGGACTTCCATGTTCCAGTGACAACAGAGATTAATTTAATGGAAGAAATATATAAATACTCCAAAGACCCGGGGCCTCTCTCTTTTCTTCCACGTGGGGTTCTGTACTGCTTTGCAAGCTGCTATAATTCAGATCTGTGCAAAATGGGTTCAAAGTGCTATCAAATCAGAATAGTAACATTTTCCACTCACACTGTACAATTGTGATTGACTTCAGGGTACAAATCATTGGATATTCATGTCCAGAAACTGAAGAGAGTGGACAACTAGAAGTCCAACGTAGGGGGACAGAAAATGCCTCAGCATCTTTATGAGGATATAAACTTAAAGAAAAATTTAAAGTGTCTTGCTGAAATAACTTTGTCCAATTGATGACCCATCAATAGAAATTCAAACTGTGGATAGCCCCTAACACAAAGAGGGCCCTGATCTCCAATTGAGGACTCTAGGAGCTACAGAAATACAAATAATAGAAACCACCATATGAGTTAAGAGGAGTCACGGGGAAGGGAAAGAAAATTCTGTGGACTGGGGTGGAAAAGGGAGGCATCGTAATATTCTGCCTCCAGTCCTGTAGCGTGTGAGTAAACAGGTCTTGGCGAGAGGAGCTGCCCTCCATGCGTTTGTACTTCCCAGCCTCACAGAGTATTAACTGGTAAATTTTTGCTGATCATTTCCCACCTTTACTCTGGAATGCCTTTAACACTGGACTTTATCAGTACTTGGATAGGAAAAAAATCCAGAATACTTAGATGGTGCAGGAAGTGGTATTGATGGTGCAGTAGATGGAATTCTTCCCCCTGAATAAGTAGCAAACCAATTCCCCAGTTCAATGCTAGAGGATCAGTGTGGTATTGAGGTGACACCTTTAAGATGAGGTGAAGCTCTGGATGTGATCACATGTAGTCATTAAATATCCCATTGCCCTTTTTCTTAGACTAGAAAGGATGGATTATGACCAATTTCTAACACAGGTACAGTTGTTATCCATTGCAGATTCCATTGAATAAGTTATGTTACCAGATTTGCCCGTTACTTTGGGGTACGCTCATTTATTAGGTTTACTCTTGGGGGGGGGGGTGTAATTCTATCGATGTACTGCTTGTGTCACTTGTGTTCTCATATGGAGCTCTACTTCTCCCTGCTGCAAGTTCCCTCCCAATGCAGCTATCCTGGAGGATCTAGGTTCCCCAGGGCTGGGTTCTTCGAGCCCCAGAATGAGATGAACGAACACACACACATGTACACACACACATATTAACAGAGCACATCTAAGAGGACCGGGTTAATAAGCACTCCCAAGCTGACCCCTTATATGTCCCAGGACTCAGTAGGCTGGATTGAGTAGCACCTCCAAGCTGTCATCCTCGTATGTCCCAGGTTCAGTACATACGTACCTAACCCCACTTTCACATTACAATTTATTCTGGTAGTAATCCACTTGATGAGCAAACCCCACAGGACTTTTGGGTGCTGCAGGGATCTTTAGCTTAGGTACAAGGATGTTGCTGCAGAGCAAATGGGGAAGCCAAAAAACACCCATGAGGGGAGAGAGAGAGAGAGAAGCAACCAGCTTAACCATGAAAGTTATTTATTGCCAGGTAATGACCATACAAGGGGAGCCAAACAAACAAAACAGTGATCATATTAAATCTAGCTTAAATTTGATTATAAAAGTCAGGTTTAGAAAACTATAACTGATCACACAAGTCAGGGTCAGAAGGCTATACCTAGAGTGAGTGAGAGAAAGAGAGAGAGACAGACAGAGAGATGGGTTCTCACCACTCCATGAAGCTTGAATGGATCAGGGTTCCCAGGTGGTGGTGGTAGCAGAGGGTCTGGAGTGCTGGAGACAGGCAGAGCCCCCAGCATGATCAGTCAGGAGAAGATGAAGTCCCAATGGAACTGATGCAGATTTTGGATCATTACTTGAGCATGGGTAGCGGTTTTTGTAGGGAAAGAGCAATGGTTCAAGGGAGAACACTAGATTTGGTTATGCGTAAACTGATGGCTCAAGGGAGTATACCAGAGTTGTTTTGTTCCGGCTAGACAATAGAAGCTGATCATTCCTGGCTATGGGCGGTGTTCCTTGGAGGGAACTCACAATGCAATTAGGCAGCTTCTGTAATTTGGATACCAATAAAGGATTTATTACTAGAATTGGTCTGATACCTACTGAGCTAGTGTCCGCAGACATGGTTTCATTAACATCTGGAGCAGAGATCCCCCATCATGAAGTGCTTTTTTGCTTTTCTGGTCCCATAGTTCAGTGCAGTTCTTGCCTTGGAATACTTGTTCTCCATTCTGTATACTAATGGAGATGCCTCCCTGTCCCATCTTCAATGCAAATGAGGGTAGGGGGAGTTCCCTTAATCCTGTTACCCTTGTCTGGAGGGGTTTAGGTGTGTCTCCTTTTCATTGCTTTTCGTAAGTCTTTCATCTGATCAGCTTTTGTTCAAGCAGAGGCTGGGGGTGTGTGGGGGGGAAGGTCTTTCATGAGTCAGATAGCCTGGGTACTGCACCCTGGTTCCCCAAGAACACAGAGCTGACAGGTAACAGTTATTCTTCTTTCCTTCCTGTCATAATTGTTGTGGTGTTGTTGTGCAGTTTTATACAGACACTATTTCCACACTACCTAGTGATTTATCCTGAGTAGGTGAAGTGATTTGTTTCTTCATCTCTTACTACTGTTCAGACAATATCCCTCCTATCCCACACCACTTTTGAATCTCTTTCTGGTTTCCCATTGTCCATTGTAAACCTCT